AATATACATATTAAAAGCTATGGAGTTGGCTCCTCTCCAGTCCGTTATTAGACTGGAGGGTATTGTTGGGCCATTTGAGGCCTTAATTCAGGCCCATCTAGATAATACAAACCATTTATTAATGTGTAGAGTCCATTGAGTACATCATCCCTGCAAAAAATCACAATAATCGGATATTAATAGTCACTTGATCATATCATATTTCTATCACAATTTATTTTGAAAATTATGCATGCCGTTGACTGATCAATGTGAATTTTTACAAAAATAATGTACTCAACGAGCTCTACAAATTGAACAGTTTGGATCATCAAGATGGATCTGGATCAAAACCCACAACAACCAAACAACGTCTTTGTAACAACCCTCACCACTGTTTACCGTTAAACTACCGATTACTGCTAAACTGAGATTGATTATGAAAAGTAATTGAACTGGTTAAAGTACTGAACTGACTGACTGAAAACTGGAACTGAATTGACTGAGTGTGTCTGTTAATTTGTATTCTACCTGTTTGATTGATTATTTGATCTGTTCGTGCTCTATGTTTAAACTGCTAATTGAAGGCCTTATCGGCGGCCGAACCGGGAATTGATTGATGTCTTATGATCCTCATAATTAATGTGATTTATGGTATATTTATCTGAAAACTGAGTAGGTATGATTAAATATTGATGGAATGCAAGTTTTGGACTTATTTACCAATAAGCCATCTAGTGGGCCACTACCTAGGCATATTGAGCTACACCACACTTGAATCAAAAACCATTTCCTCAGCCCTTTTCCTTATACTAGCCGACCAAGAGAGGAAATAGGAGAGAATTGAGTTCATTTTGTTGAATTGGCTTGAATTGCTTGGAATTGAAGTGTAAATTGTCAAATTGGACTCCTAAACCTTGAATACAAGACTAAGGTAGGACATTCATCTTCTTGTTGTTGTCATAGAATTAATTCTTGCATAATTCATGCTTCAATTGTAGAGTTAAGTCTTGTTTTAGTTCATACATGTGGATATAGAGCTCATTTCATGCTTGCATGTTTGAATTGTTGAGTTGTGAGTTGATTTCATGGTAAAATGGTGCATGCATGTCCATAATTTTGTAATGGTCCATGTTTTCAACTTGTTTTTGGATCAATTGGCTCCTTAAAACATCAAATTGGAGCTTCCAAATGATTTGAATTCATGCATGTTTGCATGTTCATATTGTTCATGAAATTGGTTTGAAATTGGGTTTGAATTAAACACTCTTGGGCTTTGATTTCTTAAACTTGAGCTTTGAACCATGTCATTCTATATGTTTACAAGTGTTTTCTGGAAATTCAGCCCAAGAAGATCGGTTTTGATGCTTTTGAACCTGGGTTTTGGCTTGGAGGTGCAATCTGGAATTCCCAGATTTTGCACTTCCGCTCGAGCGGGGAAAGTGGCGCTCGAGCGACCATCAGACTCTACTTCTTTGACGACAAGATAGAGTTCGGTATAGGCAACGAACCACCCACCAAAATATGAAGACACCACAAACCACATGCTGTGGGCCCCTTTTTAAATTTCAAACCGAAATTGTTTTTGCTTTTGTTTTGTTTTATTTTTTTTTTATTTTTTGGGTTCAATCAAAGATTTAATTCTATTTTTTTTTTTTATGATAAGAATACGAGTTAAAAAGTCTTGATATGAAAAAAGTTATTGATGCAAAAAAATTAGTCAAAAAAGTTGTCAAAAAGTTACTAATATTCAACAACGACGGCTAATGACATTTGAATAAATGACATGCATATAAGTAGGTGACATTTAAATAAATAAATAAATTTTGAACATATGTGTATTTTTTTGGATCAATAATGTTCTTTTTGCTAAAAAAGATTTAAGCTTGGCCTATTAACCCAATAATTTCAAAAATGGATCTTTAGCCTCAGTGCCTTTTTTTCTTTTTTGTATGCACAAACTCAATCACAAAATTAAATGAGATTCTCATACATGTAGTGGGATCCATACATTTAGTTCCCTTATATTTGATTATGTTATCAAATTTTTTAATACATTTAAATTTTTTTAGTACTTATTTCTTAGGAAAGAAATGACTTCTATCCGATTAACTGGAGAAATGCAGTTGGAATTTCCAAAACAGAGTTTGCTCAAACCCAAACAAATTAAAAGTAACAAGTCTGCTCTTTGCTCTTTGATTTTTATTATTTTTATTATTTTTGTAAAATAAAATGTTGATGTTTGTTGTAATTTAAATGGATTTTTTTTTTTCATTTAAGATTTTGTACCAATTATTGGTTTTAACTTCTGCCTATGAATTATGCAATAAAAATAACTTATAAAAAGAATAAGATAAAATTATCAGTCTCGCCTATTTTTTGGAGTTATTACCCAAAAAATCATAAGTGAAGTTCATATGGACATATTAGATCTAAAAATAATATTTTTTATTGTTGAGAATAGTTGAAAAAACGGCGAGTTTGTTATGAGAATTGATGTGAATTGAGAATTGTGAGATAGCGAATTGAGTTGTGAGAGTAAAACTAGAAACATGGATCTATTAATTTGAAATATGACTTGTTGGGTATTAAATCTGGTCCATAGGATCAACTTGTAAATCTACTATATAAATAAGGGAAATTACAATCAGTGGTAATCTTAAAAAATTATTACACATTAATGAAAAAGTTTATGATTTTAATTATTAATATTTATAATTTTATCACAAACCCAATACTCCTAATTAGAGGATGAAAATAATTTTTTTTATTCACAAAGAGAATCTATTCACTCAAACTCCAATCACAAATCTTCAAATTTTTTTTCCTCTAAATATTTCCCTCGAAAATTATTTCCCTCAAAAAGTGAATAATTTTGTTCATTATTAAATATTTAATTTTAAAATTTTTGTTGAATATATTTAACATTAGACTCATTTTAAAGGTGTGATTTCAATCTTTTTAATAATATCAAATTTTTAAAAAATAGATGTACATATTAAAGGTTATTTGTAGTTTATAACATATAACTAAAAATACAAAAGGATTTGATTGATAGATAAAGTTGAAAGGAAAAATTCTTGAGGAGAAAATTGGTATTTAAAAATATGAATAGTGTTATAGAGATGAGTATTGCTATTCGCATCCCATAAATTATTTTGGACTCTCCAATTTTTAGGTTTTTTTTTTATTATAATAATAATCTCAAATAAAATTATTACAAAGGACATAATTAATTTTAGGCCACTCCATCTCACAATTAAACTTACACCTCCACTACATCATAAATTAGGGTTTATGAGAGCACCTACTTCCATCACCACCCATCCATCTTTCCTAAATCTCACCTTCAAAACTTATACACCCTCAAAACCTTGAAAATCCTTTGGTAGCAATATTCTGGCGGTAACGGTGGCAGCTATCTGATTACCTACACTTCTCCGATAATGACAATAAGTAAAAACTTAATGATAATTTTGGCGACATATTTAGATTAAAGTCGTATTGAAATGCTGAAATGATTTTTATCAATTTAAATATGAAATAGAAAGCAACAACAGAAGCAAACCTCATATTTTGTTGCCTCAGAAATAAACCCTAGTTCATACAGCGATATTATCAATTTGCATCACATTTATTTATTTAATCTTATTATTCACTGATCCATGAGTTTTCTAGGCTCTTTTCAAGGCAAGGAATTGTTTAGAAAAAGCATTTCAATTCTCTTCTAAATTGCATGTACTAAAAATTCACAAAAGATCGACAAACTCTCTTTTAAAAAAGATTAAATAAATAAATAAATAAGTTTTGATTTTGAATGACAAAAACAACATGAAGAAATTGTCAAATGCTAGACCAAGTTTTGGAAAAGAAAAGAAGAAAAAGAAAAAAAAATCCACACAATAGCAGATGGGAAAACCCACCACAAAATCCAAATTTAAAAGAACTTATTTTTTGGGGGGAGTGGGGGTACGCATTCAATTTGTGGAATGTTTAAAGATAATTTTAATATTATTTGGAGGGGAAAAGAAATTTTAAGGGTTTTAAAATTTATAAATGAGAGTTTAAAGAAATAGGGGTCCAAAATAATTCATGAAGTGCTGATAGCACCACTTTATAGAGATACTCCTCCATTTCTTATCATCTCTCTATATTTGGAGGATCAATCCATACTCTCCTCCCAAATGGAGATGATTTTAGAGGATGATTTGGAAGTAAAAATCCTTCATATATGTAGATGTAGAGGGTGAGTTGAAGATGATCTAACAAAGTTGTTACAATTGGAGAAATTTTAATTCAGGAATAATTTTAAAAAATAATTACAAATACGGAACAAATTTTATAAATATGAATAATTAAAAATATAAATTTATAATAATTTTTTTCAACTGTAATCTATAATTTTCTCATTATAATTTAGCAATAAGAATTTCCGAGTTGTAGAAAAAAAGTGTTTCTATTTTCTATCAAACTTTTCTTTTATGCTGTGTTTGGTTGATGGATTTGAGGAGGGATTTGGAAAGGGAAAGGGAAAAGGTGTGTGAAACTATGTGAAATATAGGCATGATTTATTCACATTTCACCTACCTTTTCCATTTCCCTTTCCAAATCCCTTCCCAAATCCCCCAACCAAACACAACATTAAAGTCGTGCTAGCTAGCTGCCACTCAAGTAAGGAAATGAGTAAAAAAAAGTAGCAAACAAACTTGAGTGCAAAATGGGCCATTGAGAATGAGAATTTTATTTTTTATTTTTTAACAGCATTGAGAATGAGATTGATTTCTGTATGATTATGATTTCAACAGTAGAGAGGGAGGGCCCTATCTGCTTTATTCCCTGTTTGCTAGAGAACAGAGAGAACCATCCAAAATCATGTTCTTCATCCAAACTTGTTTGAAACAGAAACTTGCAGGGTTTCAAACTGCTCCTTAACTCTCTCTCTCTCTCTCTCTCTCTCTCTCTCATATTGCTTTTTTTCATACATTTCTTCCTGGGCTCTTTCACAACAAAGACGAGTAGACATGGATGTGGTGGGAATCTTTATCTCTCCATTGCTTCAAGCTGTGATTGACAAGTTGTTGTTCTCTGATTTAATCAACTTGGCGCGTCGTGAGGGTGTCGACACTTCCATCAAGAAGCTGAAGAAGTCATTTGAAGATATAAACGATGTACTTGCTGATGCAGAGGAGAAGCAGATATCCAACAGGGCTGTCAATAGGTGGCTGAAAGAGCTCCAGCATTTGGCTTACGATGCGGACGATGTGCTGGACGAGTTTGCCACTGAAGCTCTACGCAAGAAGCTGATCAGGGCAGAGACTGATGCTGATGTTGATGTTGGTGAGGCCAGCACATGTAGGAAGGTACGACGATTCCTCCTTTCTACTTGTTGCACTGGTTTTACTCCAACTACGATTTCATTTAATTTCGCAATTGAGTCCAAGTTGAAGGAGATCAATGGTCAGTTACAAGATGTTACTACAAGAATTAAGGAACTTGGTTTGGTCAAAAAGGCTATTGGGGGGATGAAGTCTACAAATGTGTGGCAGAGACCAGAAACTACATATTTGGTGAAAGAGCCTTGTGTTTATGGTAGAGAAGAAAAGAAAAAACAGATTATTGAATTGCTTCTCAGAGATGCAGCAACTCAAAACAAAGTCGATGTCATTCCCATCACCGGCATGGGTGGGATTGGCAAGACTACTCTGGCTCAACTCATTTGCAATGATAATGGTGTCAAAAGCCATTTCGATCTGAAAGCGTGGGTTTGTGTATCTGACGAGTTTGACATTAAGAGAATAACAAAGGCAATTTTGGATGAATTCAATCTTGATTCATGCAATTCGACAGAGTTAAATACCCTTCAACGTAAACTTGAGGACAAACTGGCAGGAAAAAAGTTTTTGCTTGTCCTAGATGATGTGTGGAACTATAGAGATGAAGAGTGGAGTTCACTACAATCTCCGTTTCGAGCTGCAGCACATGGAAGTAAAATCATTGTGACAACGCGAATCACGACTGTTGCACGACAGGTGGGTACAATTGAACACCACGATTTGAAAGAGTTATCACCTGATGATTGCTGGTCAATCTTTGCCCAACATGCATTCAAGAATATAAATATTAGTGAACATCCAGAATTGGAATCAATTGGTAGGCAAATTGTTGCTAAGTGCGGAGGCTTGCCACTGGCAGCAAGGGCCCTCGGTGGCTTATTACGTGACCAAAAGGAGCATAAATGGAAAATGGTACTAACTAGCAATATATGGGATAAACCATACGAGGAAAGTCGCATTCTCCCAGCACTGAAATTGAGCTATCATCATCTCCCTTCCCATTTGAAGAGGTGCTTTGGTTATTGTGCAATTGTCCCAAAGGATTACGAATTTGGGAAGGATGAATTAGTCTTGTTATGGATGGCAGAAGGTTTAATTGAACACCCAGAAGGTGGAGAACAAATAGAAGATGTAGGCCGCAGGTATTTTCACGAATTGGTGTCTAGGTCATTTTTCCAATGGTCAAGGCATGATAAATTGCTATTCATAATGCATGACCTCATCAATGATTTGGCTCAAGCAGTTACAGGGGACATCTGTTTTAGGTTGGAGAATAATTTAGAGGGTGTCAAGCAGAACAAGATTTCAGACAAAGCTCGACATTCATCTTATGTTGGTAGCGAATATGACGAAATTAGAAAATTCAAAGCTTTTGATGATGCCAGATGCTTACGAACCTTCTTAGGGTTTTTGCCGAATACATTAAACTACACAACAAGGTACTTGATTCATGAGTTGTTGCCAATGTTAAAGTGCTTACGTGAGTTGCGTTTGTGTTGTTGTGGTGGGATAGATGAACTACCAGATTCCATTGGAGATCTAAAGCATCTACGGTACCTTGATGTATCCCATTCTCGAATTAGGAAGTTACCTGAGTCGGTGGTAACTCTCTACAATTTACAAGTCTTGTTTTTGAAATTTTGTGATCAACTTCAGAAGTTGCCTCTAAACGTGGGGAGGCTAGTGAACTTGCGCCATTTTGACATGACTGGCACGCATATTCCATCATCAGAAGAGATGTCACTACATATAGGTAAATTAACTAATCTCCAAACATTGTCAAATTTTATAGTGGGTAAAGATCGTGGGCGTAAAATAGGAGAGTTGAAAAACCTATCACATATTCAAGGGGCAATACACATATCAAGAATGGAGAATGTCAGTAGTGTTAAGGATGCAGTGGATGCCAATTTAATGTCTAAGGAGGAGTTAAAAGAGTTATCACTAGAATGGGATAAATCTCATAGTTCACAAAATGACATAGTTGAGAGGGATGTACTTGACGTGATGAGGCCTTTCAAATTTTTGGAAGAACTCACCATCAGTGGGTATGGTAGTACAAAATTTCCAAATTGGGTTGGAGATGTTTCATTCTCTAAAATGGTATTCATGCGATTAAAAGGTAGTAAATATTGCACATCTTTGCCACCACTTGGACAACTACCCTTGCTTAAAGACCTTTACATTGAAGGAATGAGTACAATAAAGCGCCTAGGTTGTGAGTTCTATGGGCAGCAGTGTGGTGCCAAACCTTTCCCCTCTCTAGAGAGACTGAGCTTTGAGTTTATGACAGAATGGGAGGATTGGTCTGCTTTTGAAACAGAGGGAGTTCAGCCGTTCAGTCATCTCAGTGAGCTTTCCATCATAAAGTGTCCCAAACTTATTGGAAGATTACCAAATGATCTTCCTTGTCTCAATTCTCTCAAAATTGATGGTTGTCCTCAGTTGTTGATTGATGTTTCGAGCCTCGTTCGGCCATCACTTGCATCCTTGTCAATGAATAATGTTATGCCCCCAAGCCTTCCAGCACTCTTAGGGACGAAGAACACGATTGAACTTGGTTCCCTCACCTCGGATATTAGCCATGTTACAGTTCCCGACTCCCTCTGCGATCCAAGCACAATTGATGAGGAGTTACTGGCTACTGAAATGTCTAAGCATTTGACTTCAATAACTGCTTTGAGCATTTCTCATGTTGAAAAATTGGCGTTCCTACCGACATGGTTTACTCGAGATTTGATGGGACTCGAGAAATTGGACATTAGTAACTGCGAAGAACTCATAACATTGTGGCAGAATAAGGTGAGAACACAAGTATGTCTCCCTTCCCTCTGCCATTTGCAGATTTCTGATTGTCCCGAACTCGTTTGCTTGTTTGAAGAAGAGCAAGAAAAAGGAGGAGAAGGTTCGAAAGAGCAGCAACATGAGGGGCTGCCTTGCATGACGAGACTCGAGTATTTAACAATTGAAGAGTGTGGAATGCTGAAGAAACTGCCACAAGATCTGCACACATACACATCTCTTGGGGTGCTTAGAATCTGCAATTGTGCAAGTCTGATCTCTTTTCCAATGAAAGGTTTGCCATCTATGCTGAGAGAACTTGGGGTTTCAGGGTGTGATGCTTTGGAATCCCTACCCGAGTTGATGACACTCAATAATCTGCAAGAGTTGAAGGTTTTTAACTGTGCATCACTCACATATTTATTGTCAAGAGGTGGGCTACCATCCACACTAAAACAACTTCGGATTGAGTGGTGTAAAAATCTGGAGTCGGTTTTTGCAGAGGAAGGGATCAAAATTGATTGTCCATCTCTTGAAACTATTGAAATTGGGTATTGCTGGAGTCTCAAATCTTTACCTGAAGCCAATAATCTCAAGAATCTCAGTCAATTGCTGATATTCAATTGTTCTAATCTGGAGCCCCTGTCACTTGGTGGTCGTGATGAGAACAACAACATCAACCAACTCACTTCGCTTCAATACCTGTGTTTAGTTGATTGCAGAGCAGAAATGGTCTCCTACTTTGTGAAGGAAGGGAGTTGGAAGTTTCCCCACCAACATCCCTTTACTTCGAATCGGGAATTTGAGAGGGGACGACGTGGGTCAACTTCCAGTTCCGCCTCCATCTCCGTTAGAGTGGGGTTTGCACAAACTCTCTTCACTTACAACACTCCACCTTGATGGCGGAGGTTGGCCGTGGGGAGATACGGTGTCCTTTCCAGAAGAAGGGATGTTCCTGCCCACCTCTCTCATCAATTTGACCATCATCGCCTTTCCAAATCTGGAAAGACTCTCTTATGAGGAGTTTCAAAACCTCACCTCTCTTGAAAGACTTGAAATCTGGAGTTGCCCTAGGCTCGCGTCCTTTCCAAAGGAAGGGTTGCCTTCCTCTCTTTTGCATCTACAGGTCTGGGATTGCCCTGAGCTTGTGCCCTTTCCAGAACAAGGATTCCCTCCCTCGCTTTTGTCACTGAAGATCTATAGATGTAATCCAATACTGAAACAGAAGTGTGAAAAGGGGAAAGAATATTGGCCCATCATCCAATACATTCCTCAAGTACATCTTGTATAGTGTATAAGCAGCCACCTGCAAGGTACAAACAAACAAACACAAAATCTGTCCTGTCATTTTTATTTATTTATTTATATTATCATCACCAATTTCAGATTTTTATCATAACTGAAGATTTATTTTTATCCTCTACCATCACAATATAAAAATTAAAAAGTATAATTAAAAATAATAATTTTTAAATTTAAACTTTGAATTTTAAATTTGATCTTATACATATCAAATAATTTGTTTTAGTTTAACATTTAAATTTTTATCAAACAATTTTTTAACTTACAAACAAGCAAACACAAAATCTGTCATACCTATATTGGAGCATGTATATATTTTATATATTAAATTATTAAATATATAATTATATTCTAAAAATTATTTTTTTCTATTTAGTTAGTTGTAATATATTTGTTAAAATATGAATTTTTGTTGGAGATTGATATCAACTCTAAATTATCTTTATTAAGTATAAATAAATATTATGTAAATAAAAAGTACTATAATAAGTTTGAGTTGTTTTTCTTTTATTTCTTTTAAATTTGTATGCTTGAGAGATTCTATCTCAGTTGAAAGGAAGTTTATTCCTAAAACTGAGCGAGTTTCTTGCTGGTTTCTTATTTGAAAGCGTGGACTAGTGTTTCTTAGGAAGTATCACCAAATTAAGAGTTTCCTGCTGCCATGGTCTGTGCTACTATGGTCTGGTCAACTCAAATTGACCATTTTGTGTCTTCAACTACATCTCCACATCAGCTCTAATAATTTTGATTTATAGCTTCTATTTTTCACCTGTATCAACACACTACAATGGTTTACGTTCATTCCTTTTTCTTTTCCTTTCAAATATTTCCTTTTCCTTTTTTTATCTATATACCTCTACTGAATGGATGAATTTCATTCTCATTTTTATTTTATTTTTACCCTGACTCTACTACAGGCATGTAATTGTGTCTTTGAATACTATGCTCTTTTTGTTGTTCAGCTTGTAAAAGTTTATTTTTCTATATTTTCTCAGTTTTCTGTGAAAAAATATAGAAAATATGCCTTGTTTGGTTTAATTTTGAAAACAATTTTTGAGAGCTCAAAACCCAAAATTTGTTTGGTTTATAATTTTCCCAAAATTGTTTTCAATCACTTTTTCTATCTCATCTTTCCTTCTCTCACATACTACACATTAATCAATCACTTTTTTTCTCACACCTATCTATTCAACTACAAAAAAATTTCAAATCATTCCAAACTACAAACCTACAAAACTAATTTCAAAATATACAACCAAATAAATTTTCAAATTTTGAAAACTCTTTTCAATCTTATCTTTCAAAACTAAACCAAACGCAGCCTTTGTGGACAGTTTAAATGGTGAAACCCACTAACTATTGTTGTTATCACCCTTTTGTTCTCCAGGGCTTTGTTGTTGTGGAAACAAACATTAGGATGTATTCTTAACTGTCTAAGCTGCATTGCAAGATTTTGCGCCTCTTTTCAAGGTATGCCAGAATTATGCTTGGGAAAGACTTTGGCTGCTCTGATTTAACTCAATGCTTCTTGGCTTTGGAGAGAGCTACAATTTTGAATTCAAAGGGTCACTATTTTTTGAGTTTGAGTTGTCATGAGTTTTTTTATTTTTTTTTTTATTTTTAATTTCTTTTCATAATATATTCATATACTATTGTCCAGTCATGGCAAAAGCTCTCATAAGTAACAAAGGAGCAAGAGATATATGAAGAAAATTGAGAATAAAGTCCTTTCCTGAGACTACAATTGTAAACGCCTCCCTACTGCACATTGTCATGCAAGACTTTTGATCATTAAGATTTCCATGCCTTGCAAGAAGGGAAATTTTTTTAAATATCAAGTCGTATTTTTAAACCATCCTACTTGCATGCTGGACTACATTTGTCAGTTACAAAGCCACATGTAATCTTGTCAAAATCCATGTGGGCAATCTGTTCTGGTAGTTGGAGGGATTTAGGCTTCCTTTATTAAATGGGAGTTAAGAAGGCATCTACCCTACTTGGAGTATTATTTAGAATTCAAATACTAGGCAAATACCTAAAAAAATATAGGAAACTATTAGAAATTGATATACCGTATAGAGTTTTTGTGTTTGTTTGTTTAAATTTACATGTTGATTTGTTTAGACTTGTCATGAAGTGGGCGATATGGAAAACAATAAGAAGAAAACATAAGGGGAAGTTCATCATAAAATCGGGTTCTTTTCCGGATGGGGTTGATCTCTCTTATCAATTTGACCATCACCCACTTCCCAAATCTGGAAAGACTCTTATGAGGAGTTTCAAAACCTCACCTCTCTCCAAAGACTTCATATCATGTCTTGCCTTAGGCTCTTGTCCTTTCCAAAGGAAGGGTTGCCTCCCTCTCTTTTGCATCTATTGATCTGCAATTGTCCTAAGCTTGCGACCTTTCCAGAACAAGGCTTCCCTCCCTCTCTTTTGGCACTGAGGATCTATGGATGTAGTCGAATACTGAAAAAGAAGTGTGAAAAGGGCAAAGGTCAATATTGGCCCATCATCAAATACATTCCTGTAGTAGATTTTGATTAAGCAGCCAACTGCAAGGTACAAACAAACAAACAAACACAAAATCTGTCTTACCATTTTATTTATTTATTTATTTTCTCATCACCAATATCATCTCAGATTTTTATCACAACTGAGGGTTTCCTCTCTACTTCTTTTGAATAGTAAAAGAGTTCCAGTTTGTTGTGAATGTTGAAATTACCAATGCATTACTGATTAAACACACTACTTTGTTTTTCAATTCATTCTTTGTCTTTTCCTTTCAAATATATTTCATTTTCTCTTAATTTTCCCTTAATAATGAATGGATAATTTTCATTCTCATTTGTTATTTTATCTTGTATTATTCATAGGTGTGCCGATGGAAAAATAACCCTATTCGCCACTAGCAATCTTTACACATTTCTGCAAGGTAAGGTTAACTACTTCACCTTATGACCCGAGCCTTTTTACGGAAATTATTTTTCTAGAAAATGTTTTCTTGAAGAAATGATCAACTATGTTTGATTGCAACTTGAAACTAATGTACTAGTGGTTGTATTAGTGATGGTGTTGGTTTTACTTCTACACCATGTTTCAATTATATCTCGAGGTTGCATTTTTGTTAGGACTTTAAGAGAATCTTTATTTTGCTGTTGTGCATTTAACATGCATTATTACACCTCATTCCGAAAAATATGCAGGTACGAGCTTTGAACTTTATAAATCTGGTTTTTTAAGTCTATTGAAAAGTATAGCATCACTTTTTGATACTCTTTACGATGGTAACTCGCTCAAATATAATTCTTCTATTGTTACCGTCATTGTAATTTTGAGTTGATTCAGGTTCTAGTTTTTGTAAATTTGAAATTTACTGATGATGAGCTTATGCATAAATTTTGAGTTTTAGATATTAGGGTCTTGCTCTGAATGAATAGTTGGAAGATAATATATATATATATATATTCTTTTCAGGGGCTTCATTCAGAATCTGAGCTAGACGATGCCTCTTGATCTTTCATTTTTCCTGTACTGCTGCTTCGATTCCAGGTAATTGGCAGGCAAAATTCCGTTGTCTTGATCCAGTTTAATTTCAATAAAATCAGAATTATGTATTCCACTTTTGCAATTTTTTGGACTTAGATGGGACAAAAAATTGTGTGTGTCCCACTTATGCAGAACAAATAGCAGTGCCAGAGACAGCATAATGTATCATATCCATGGTAGCATGGAATATATTTTGGGAAAATTTATCTATTACATCAACAAAAAAAATGTTGACATATGATGTATTAGCTAGCTGCTTAATGTTTCGAATGGCTGCAAAATAAATGGTTCAGTAATTTGTATAGGTTCGAGTTATTTGTTCTTTTTTGAAATGCCAAGACGAGAGCTAATGAATGGTTCCATTTCACTTGGAATGCTGATATTGTTTTTCATCTGCTTCATGAGTACATTCGCCTACTCCACCAAATACAGATACACCTCCATGAGCTTTGACAATGTTGTTAACCCTAAAGAGGACAACTTCCTCAGTCTGTTACAAACCTGCAGTTGCAGCTTGTAAACTGCTTTTCAATATTTCTTCAATGTTTTGTTGAAAATTTAAATAAAAAAATGTACTGACTATTGTATTTGACTCTTTGTTCTCAGGGCTTTGTTGCTGTGGAAACAAACTTTAGGATGTATGCATGCTCATCGTCTAAACTGCACTGTGAGTTTTTGCTCCTCTTCTCAAGGTATGCCAGAAATTTGCTTGATGAGAACTTTGGGTGCTCTGTTCTAAAATAATGTTGTACCTAGTAATGTTGAAAATTCTCATAGGAGATAAAGGAATAAGAGACAGAAAAAAAAAAAAAAAAGGAGTAAGAGATATATCAAGATAATTGAGAAGAAGTCCTTTCCATAATTGAAAAAACCTCCCTCCAGCACACTTCTTAGGCAAGACTTTTGATCATTTAAATTTCCAAACCTTACAAAAAATCACTTTGTGTTTTTAGGCGTTACTCCTTGCATGCTATTCTACATTTGATAGTTAGGAAGCCACCTCGTCTAGCCAAAATCCATGTGGGCAATCCATAGTTACTTTGCCACTCCAAAAATGATAATATGGAAGAATAATTGAAAAGCCTAGCCCATACTTCTTAAAACTCAGGTGTCAAGGAGAGGGAAATTGGAGCCTTATAACCAGCATAGATGGGGCAACTTCAGGTGATGCGGGACACATTCAAACACCTCCCTAGACCACAACATACAGTAACCGAACAAACGGCTCAGGTGTCAAGGAGAGGGAAATTGGAACATACAGTAACCGAACAAACGGCATATCAATTACAGGCCCAGCCAAGCTCTTATACCAAATTGAACAGTCCAACCCACACTTTTCCTTAAAACCTAGATATCAAGGAGAAGGAAGCTGGAGCCTTATAACCAGCATAGATGGGGCAACTCCAAGCGATGTGGGACACATTTCAACAAGAATCAGTCATTTCATCTTTTACTTGATAGAGTAGCTAAGACTTTACAATAATAGTTAATAAAATGATGAAGTTTTGGGGATAAGATGGGATATTTGGCTTTGCTTTGGGCTTTTGTGTCTAGACCTTTCAAAATAAATAAATAAATAAAATGAAGTTTGGTCCTTTTTCCTTTTAGTGAGCTTGAGTTTGGTTGCTAATTTCAATTTATCTGTTATTAAGAAAATTCGCATGCCTTCTCATCTCCACTACAATTGTGTTCATGTATATAACTTTGAACCTCTTGTCAACTTATGGTTTTGTTTCCTTATCTTGCTGGTAGCTTTTGAGGATGCTTGAGACTCTTCACAAGAATATGGAGGTTTGTTATAGGAAGACTAAAAAAAAAAATAGTAGTGCAGGCAGAAATACCCATGCACATCTGAGAATTCCCTTGTCGTCAAAGGCAATAGATTCTGTGTGCAATCTGCAAGAAACTAATTGAAGGGATTTGAATGTCTGTTTTGCAATGATTTGGAAAGTTAGATGGATTCCATGCTGATGCTAAAGTTTGCTCTCTTGCTGACGAAAGCACTGGTGTCTAGAATGGAATGAGGCTCTCATCAGATAGGGCTTTTTGGATTTTGAAGCTGAGTTGATATGTAAAATCCCTTTTTCCCCAAGCCTTGTTGATGACATACTGGTTTGGCACTTTACTAAAAATGGCCTTCTTTTTTCTGTTAATCAGCATATCATTGGGAGATGGATTTGCAAAGAACAGAAACATGGGTCAGCTCTTCAGATGATGAGCAGCAGCTCGTAGACCACCTAAAAAGGAATGAGTTTTGAAAGGGCATTTGGGAAGAAGATTTAGTTGCTGAAAGTTCTGAATAAAGTGAAAATCTTTGGATGGAAAATCTGTTCGAATATCCATCCTGTTTAGTGAAACTTGAGAGGTGCAAAGTAATTCAACTTGATGACTGCTAACTTGTACATTAGCAGAAAATTAGTGCTGTTTTTGGTGGTTTGAGTCAGCTTACAATGTGATTGACCTTTTTAAGTCTCTTGACACATCTTCATTTGTAGCTCTGCTTAGATGGCTGATTTATTATAATTTGACTTTCTTCTAGTCTGAGCCACAGGTGCCTAATTTAGTGTTCACATGTATTCACTTTCCAAGAGCATTCTTGAGGAGAGTATGTTTGGTTAATTGCTTATATAAATGATGTAGAAGCACAATTACTTGAACAAAGTTCTAATCCCGTATTCAATTTAGTTGATGTTCTAAGGCAACATGCTAGCTTGGCACTTGGAACATAAAAAATAAAAAACCCTATTGAAGCAAGTATAAAATTGTCTGAAGGAAAAAATAAAATTGTCAAGTACAAAATTAAAAATTAAAAAACTCTATTGAGTCAAGTATAAAATTGTCAAAAGGAAAAAGATGAAATACATATATGTGGACATACAAAATATATCTATACCATTTATATATATGTATATTCCAAGCCTTAATCTCATATACCTCTTTAATTTCTTCCCATTATTGTCATAATGGCTGATAATATTATTCCTCATTCTATGGCTATCAACTTTAATCTTATTCTAGCATTATAGTTGTGGAATGATTCTTTTGCTACATACGGATTAATACGGATTAATATAATGTTGAAGGGCCTCTTGTTTCTTTATAGTAAAACACGAGACAAAAGCCTCTTCTATACTGTTGGATTTCTCATCTCAGACCTTATCTAGGCATTTTTTGTTTTACCAAGGAATGATATGCATCTTGTCAAGAGGCTTGGAGTGGGTCTCATTGCCCTCTACTTGATTTTTCTCTGTTAGGCTAATCAGTGCTACACAAATCATATCATTGACCTGTCTAAGTTGACATTTGATGTAGTGAATATTCAGGAAGAGCAGGTTAACTACGAAGTTGGTAGTGAAGGCAGAGACACTTATGAAGGGATTTGAGTACTTGAAAAAGTATACCTTTTTCCATTAGAGGACTCAAAATACCAGAAATGAAAAGAAGATAATGAGGAAGTAAAGATGTGAGAAAATGTACAAAGTCGTTTTTTGGCTATTCAAATTGGTGCCTTTGACTTTTGTTTTTGTCTGTACTTTTATTCACATACTTGTGAACTTCACTGTCGCCAAACCCAATGTTAACTTCTTCCACTTCAAATTGTGAAGTATCAATTGGCACCCATGATCTCAGGAAAGCTTAAGTTATTGTGAACCTTCGTATGCAGTATAGGAGTACACAAAAAGTTGTTTTCGTCCTAATTCAAGTGCCTAGAGCAGTTATTTATCGATTTGTGCCCCTCCATGTTTTCCATTTGTAGCATCCCATGTGTGGGTTTTTTTCCCCCTCGTTTTTTTTAAATAGCATCCAAGTGTAATTTGAAGTTTAGGTGATGAAAATGCTACATGCTCCTTATTTTCAGTTTACCAAATTTGATGGCCACAATTATGATATTTAAGCTTTGACATAAAAATTTAATGTTCAGATGCTTGCACTACTAAAAGTTTTGTTGAGCATGCTGTACCAGCTCTGTTATGCTTTGTTTTAAGGCCATTCAGTTCACTAATAATTCGCAGCCAAAGAACATTGGGAGGAAAGATGTCTCAGGTCTGTCAGTTCTTCCGAACTTGTGTTCTTGTTATTTCGTTTTTGCCTGGCTTTGGAAATCATCTCAATTTCTTCACTATGCTGTGATTTGTGAGCAGTCGTAACAATATAATTTACCTGCGCAAACACAACAAAGCATCTCCCAGGAAGTGGAACATGGAGAAGGCTTTAGTTAGTCTGTTCATAACATATATGCACATGTTTCCTTTTTCAAAGTTTAAATGTGTTTGCCAGGAACTGTATAGTAATGCAATGATATATAAATTAGTTGTATATAGTGCTTCTTGACAAGTATGGAACACAACCTTGTCCCTCTGCACCTTTTCAATTGTCCAATATGTTGAGTGATAAGGGTCTACTCATCATAGCTCTTTTAGTTACAACGTTGGAGCAGCTGGTCCTAGGAATGATTCACTTCATACTTACCATAATAATTTCCTACTAACCAAATAGCTTACCAAAATGGGTATTTTCAGTGAGGAGAAGCATTCTTGATTTGACCTGAGTCTGTTTCTCTTCCAGATGTTCTTTCTTAGCTCAATGGAAATCATTTTCTAGATTATAGTAACACAACCTTTTGTATGGGATGTTGAGCAGGTCATATTGAAGCCCTACGCTTTGTGATATAAAGTTTTGCACCGGAGATTTTGCATCAGAATTATTCACGAGATCTTCAGTTATTGGCGACATTATCACTACAAAAATAAATAAATAAATAAATAAAGGTTTTAGAGACAAAAATTTGGGGACAAAATTACTTTTTAGGGACCAAATATTTTTTGTTGTAAAAAATGTCATTATATTTTTATCAATAAAAATTGGGCATTAGTGATGAATTATTATTCTTTTGGGGCCAAAACTTTTGTCTCAAAAAATAAACCCTTTTGGGACCAAATTATTTTGTCCCTAAAAGTGAATTTATTAGTGACATTTTTTTAATTTTGTTGCTAAAAGCCTTGTTTAAGACTTTTTGGAATAACCTTTTAGCAATTATCCTCATGATGATGGAAATTAGTCCTTAAATGTTTTTTTCAACAAAATTTTCACTTTTAGGAACAAAAAAATTTGGTCTCTAAAACTCTTATACGTTGTCAGGAGATTAATATACTTTTCAACGGCTTGAGTTAATCCTTACAGTGTTCTTGGATGAGAAGAGATTTAGGCTGATGCTTTAGCATTTGAGGCTCACAACACAGTGGATGAATATTTTTTATTATTAGCTCACCTGATATTTCCTATCCTTCTAGAGTGTTCCTATTATTAGCTCTCTTTGATTTACCCAAACAAAAAAGGTTATTTGTGCAAGGGGTTCAACACCATTCAACCTGAACACACTTCAGCAGTCAACAATCTGTGCACTATTGGCATCTCAAGACAAGTTTGAGCAACATTATGTAGTTTTCTTGGCATCCACAACTTTATTACAATTTCTTTCGCACTCCGAGTCATAGAATGTAATGAGACAGTTGGTTTTTTCCTTGTAGAAACCACAACACTGCTATTATATTTCATTGCTAGCTAGCTTAATAGTAGTAATAGCACTTGTCAAAAACAATTGGAGTTGTAGCAATTTTATTGTATTATAGCTGAATCAACACAATTTCTGTCTTATCCACTTCTCTAGTCCATTAGACCTCCCACTGATCAATTGTTGCAGCTATTAACTTGTACATTATGAGCAAATTAGTTCCTTTTTTTTTTTTTTTTTGCAGTGCAGCAGTTTCTTTATTGAAACAACATGAATGAATGCATATGAAAGAAAAAAGTCATGAGCTTTTTTTTTCAAGTCCCTTGATCCACATCTTCATTTATAGCTTCTTAGGTGGCTGATTTATTAGAATTTAACGAGGTTCTACTCTGTGCCACAGGGCCTAATTGAGTGTTCACATGGTATTCACTTTTTAAGAGTATTCTTTAGGCTGTGTTTAGATCATGGATTTGGGTATCGATGTGGAAAGGGAAAGGAAAAAGGTGGGTGAAATGTTATTTCCTTTTCTTTTTCCTTTTCCCTTTTCCTTCTCTTTTCAAATCTCTACCCAAATCCATGAAGGTGCTCCTGGTTATATGAAAGATTAAAGCACTCCTGGATCTAATTTAGTTTCTCTTTTGCTTCAAATATAGTGGCAGCCTATGAATTTGTTTTGGAAATTTATTTTATGTGTTTTGTGTTAATTCTGCTGCTGCGATATATATAGCTTTGGTGTCATTCTGTGGGATCTTGCTACTTTAAGACGTAAATCTATGACTGATTTATTTTGTGTCTTGATATTTGCAAATTTAAGTCTCAATAATCACCTTTAAAAGAATCTATATGCCGTAATTTCTTCCCTTGCTATTGTATCTAGTTATCCAAACTTGTGGCCTTTGTATGCACATATCATGGTCGCTCTAAAGGCATCGTAGCATCTGGTCACACTGCAACAAATTAAGGTACTAGAGAGAAAAATTTAGGGACAGAATCACTTTTCAGCGACAAATTATCTTAGTTGCCAAAAGTGTCATCGTTGTATTTTTTAACGACGAAATGAATTACTATTCTCTTGGGACCAAAATTTTCGCCTAAAAAAGTTAACATTTTGGCATGAAATTGTTTTTATCCCTAAAAGTGCTTTTATAAGTGACATTTTCAAAAAATTTGTTGATCATATATATACCTTCATAGTTAGACCTGCAAAGTTCATCACTTCCGTAAGAAATCTCAGTGAATACATTACCACTCCTTGAATTAAAGTTAATGCATTAGTTGCTACAATCAAGTGTGAATAAGAAGACATTTTTTGTTTTGGACATTTTGTATGATTGTAATCGAATACAAAATGAAGTTAAAATGTATTTGTTGTTGCTGCCCCCAAAGACTGCAGCAGCACATTTTTGAGTTGGTTTGCATAGTTTTTGTACTGATAAAGATTGACAATTTGATATATATTTCTTGAAACAAAATGGTTAAATTTTTAATAAGCCACTGGATGAGGTGACTGTAGGAGAGGGTTCAAGAACGTCGTTGGAAAATTCGAAGATCTTCGAAGATCCTTGAAGAAAAATTCGAATTCTCTAGAAGATGATGAGAGGCTTAGATTCTTCAATAGTGTCAACTCAAGAATACAAAAGCAAGGAGATGATGGAGATTAGAGATTAGGTGAAGAAGAAGGCAAAGTAGCTAGAAAGAGAATAATGGCAAGGCTCTCCCATGGATCTCCCACTTTCACTCTCAAGGTTGATAATGGAGAAGGGAAATTAGTTCTTTCCCAAGAGTTAAAAATCTCCAAAATCCATCACTTGTAAAGCTATGGGTGGGTGCTATTTAGAGGCACCTCATGATGTAAGATGGAGCCCATGTGCGAGGCATATGAGAAATATTCTCTCTAACCACCTTGTCCGAGGAGGTGACCTTTCTGAGGATGAGAAAAACCCCGAAGAGGAGATCAACCCCTCGGCGAACCCTTCTTCTTAGCCACACCTAACCAATGATTCCCAATCATCCCAAAGGGTCAGGGGTAGTCCCAGAGGACGTCCTGCCGCATAAGGGTCAGGGGTAGTTCAAGAGAACGCCCTACCGCAAACATTGCCGAGTCTCAGGGACCCCCTAGATCGTGCCACCTCGACCCGGGTATAGGCTA